GTATTAGAGTATTGGTTGAATTCGATACTCCCGGACACACGACCTCTTGGGGAAGGGGACAGAAGGGGATTCTCACTGAATGTTACACTAATGGCACCAAAAACGGAAAGACCGGACCATTAGATCCGACTAAAGAGAATGTCTACACGTTTTTGGAGGAATTGTTTACCGAAATCGGCACCACTTTTCCCGACCAATACATTCATTTGGGTGGCGATGAGGTGGACTTTGGCTGTTGGGAGTCTAATCCAGACATCAATAAGTTTATGAAAGAGAAAAACATAACAACTTATGCAAAACTGGAGGACTATTACATGCAAAGAGTATTGAATATCGTGAAGAAACTTAATAAAAGCTACATTATTTGGGAAGAAGTGTTCAACAACGGTGTAGAGCTGAAGCCGGACACTGTTGTCCACGTGTGGATCGGCTCGTGGGGTACTGACAAAGAAAAGTATTGGCGCCCGGAGTTGCGTAACGTAACCGCTAAGGGTTATAGAGCTATACTGTCTTCGTGTTGGTATTTGGATTTGATTAGTTTCAAGCAATCGGGTGCGGAAACAGGCGTTCAAGACTGGAAGGACTACTACCGGTGCGAACCCCACAGTTTCAACGGTACTGAAGAGCAAAACAAACTGGTCATCGGCGGTGAGGCCGCTCTTTGGGCCGAGTATATGAACGGGGGCAATTTTATTAGCAGAACATGGTATTTATTTGATATATTTTGAATTGATATATAAAGTTTGTGTCAATCCTTAGGCCGCGGGCATCGGCTGTGGCTGAAAGACTGTGGAGTCCGAAAAGTATGGACAGCACTGAGAAAGCGTTCAACAGATTTCATAAACAGACGTGTCTTATGATTGAAAGAGGTTTGGGTGTCCAGCCCTGTGACGGACCCGGTTATTGCCGATGCGATTATACGCTATAACATTAGAATATAAATGACTTATAAAAATTTGCATTGATTACATAATTATAAACTAAACTTTATAACTATGTAATCGTTGAGTAATTATTTCAGAAACTAAACGCTTTTTTGGGCAATAAAAATAAGCAAAATTAATAATTTTGTTATTTAAAGAATTAATTAATTTAATTAAAACAATGATTTGATTTACAATTTTGTGGTATTTTAAATAAAATGTCTAATGAATTTTAATTTAAAACAATTGAATTGCATTGAAGATTACATTGAATTAAATTTTAATATTTAATAGCATAAACATTTTGCAATTTTTGAACATTTAATTAAACAGAATATTCTTCAATAAAGATATCAAATTTTAGTGCAAAATATCAATAAATATGTGCTAAAAATTAATGATAAATTTATGTAATGGTTAAAATTGATACAAAAATGAAGACTACAAACACATAGAGTATGATATGGACTTCATTGACCATTTTGTACAGATAGTAATCATAACCAAAACCGGCCGCAAATACCGCTGTTATCAACACAAATAGAAATATCACTGAAAATGATTGACAAAATAATTATTAAAATTCAATTCAATTAAAATCAACAATTTATATAACAAATCACCTATTTTTGGATTCATTCTTGTAATTGGATTACAATTTGAAAGTTTTCTAAAACTGTTATTAATTCAAGTTATAAATTTGTTCATCAAATTTAATTACAACTAATGTATTAGATTTTAATAATTAAACCCACGATTTGTGTGTTAAAAAGCTGTGTATAACACAAAATGACAGTCAATTAAATTGTTATAAAAACTTATATTTTATTATGCCTTATGTAAAGCATTCAAATAAATGATAAGAATTGGCATTAATATTGATTTTTTTTTGTGTTTATAATAGATTTTTATGTCGTTTTTATATTTACAAAATATTTGGTCGCATATAGTGTTGTGACAATCGGTGTATTAATACACGACATTTGATGATTGAATAAATTATATATTTTCTATAACAACAAAATAACAAATCAATAAATATATACAAAATAGATGTACTTTTTACTATCCAATACTTTCTAATACATAAAAGCAAACAAAAGTATGAAAACTTTAATTATATAAGAGTTGTATTTTTAGTTTCAGTGTTTTATTAATTTTAATCTTAAATATTCAAACATTCATTGGTTTTAATAACAATATTCTTAGGAATTGTTACAAACATTTCATTTAAGTAATTAATAAGTGTTTTATTAATATTTGGATCCAAAATAAGTTTCAAACAATCCTTCGAAACCCTGTATTGAATACAATGTAATACAAAAGCATTCAATTCCTGTGTGTTTTGATAGCCACTGAAAAACAACACTTTTAATTCTGTGAATAGTTTTAAATCTTTGGATTTAATGAATCGGAAATTCCAAACAAAATGAATAGACAATCGCTTGAGTTGTCGTAATTGTGATATAAATTGCATGCATTTGTGAATACATTGTTTGCAGTGAGCGGTGTCTTCGTCGTCATCGAAGAAACTCATTATACAGAATATTCTTGGAATATAGAGAAAGTCGATAAATAGTTGTCTTAAATCAAAAATATTCATTTCAATTATAATTATTGCAATTTTTACATTTTACTTATTATAAACTATAAAACGTTTTACAATAGCTTTCATTTATTTAGTAATTTAAAAATAAATGATATTTTTTTATAACACAATACGTTTACAAAATAAGTTAATTAACAATTTAATGATGAGTTGATTATACAATTAATGAATATAAACGAGTTAAAAATAGATGTAAATGTACACAAATTAGTGACTTTAATATCCAAACTTGTCGTTGAGGGTTGTCTTTCCGTCGCCCAACTGTCCCGTCGGTGGCAACCAATCGACATAATCGCTATCATAAGTGGCCTTTTGTTTAGTCTTTTCCAACTGTTTCTCCTTTTCGATCGCATCGACAATACTCTGCGAATTGAGTTTACGCTTCACTTTGGACTCCGCTTTCGGTTTCGCCGAACTCTTCAATTCATTAATTATTGTTTCAGTCTTTCGTTTCACCGCTTCTTCTTTGGTCTCTTTAGGAGCAGATTTATCAACAATTTCTGCATTACTTGTTTGGCCGGCACTTTGTTTAGTGACAATTGTCTCCGATTTAACACCGGTTTTAACACAACTGTCAACAATGGATGCAATGGTCTCTGTTTTAGTGCTGATATCGACGGCCGGGAGGGCGGGAACTATGGGTTCAAACTCGACCGAAGGTTTGGCCAATTTAATCAATTTCTCCACCTTTTGCTGCTCTTTCTCGAGTAAATTAATCTTCATTTTGACCTTTGATTTCTCAATTTTGTCATTCATAGTGAGTCCGTATTTCGGCCGTTCAATGGCCGCCATATAGTCGTCGAGCGAATCGCCCGATTCTTGGGCGGGATTCGGTCGCTGGACATCGCCTTTAGCGCCGATATTCGCCATTTTGATCCTCAATTGGCGCAACTCGTCGTTCATTTCGGACCACTTCTGGTTCAACGACTCGAATGTGTCGGCTTTGGCGCCGCTATCGTCGCTCTCAGAGCTCCGTTTGAGGCGTTTGTGCGATATTTTGACGGTTTCGTCGATCATGTCGTCCACTTCGAAGTCCATGTCTTCGTTGTGTTTGCGCCTCAGTTCGAGCGCCTCCTGTTGTTGCCACGGGAACAGTAGCTTCGCCTTATCCAACAGCTGACAGCCCCGCAGACACGCCTCCGTTATCGCCTCCTTTTTCTGCACAATTCAAACACCAATTAAATACAAAATCCATTTATTATCGCAACAAAAATCTAAACATCAAATGAATGCATACTTTGGGCAGAAGAGAGCCCTCGACGGGAATCCATTGGCCATCGATGGGCAGCTCAAGAGTGCACCGAAACTTATTGTGAATTGTATCGCATTTGTACTCCAAGTCATAGCCTTCCCTATCAAACCACTGTTGTATGCATTTGTTTGGATTCGCCGAATACACGTTAGCGTTGGCCGTCTGGCCATCGCTGTCGCCGCTCTTCATAGCGGTAACCACGGCCTGCAGTGCCATACTATCGCCGGTAACCTCTCCGGCGGTGTCCGTGTCATCATTGATACCCCAACTGCAACCCGTGTCCACACTCTCCTCCTTAGGTTTGCGAGTGTTGTCTTCGAGGGCCGCTGTCTCGCCATCGTTGCTGTCTTCGTCGTCGTCGCTGTCCTCACAAGTGGTTCCCAACGAGAAGAGTCGAGTGGAAGCGCCGAATTTGAAGACATTGTTATTCGGTATGAGTTTAATGAGTTTTCCGGCCGTTACCGGCGTTTTGTTACAAGTGGTGCCGTGAGTGGACCCGCAGTCCACTAAATACCAAAACGAGTCCTTATTTTTGCCTACAATTCAAGAGATAATCACAAAAAATCAAAATTAATAAAACTTTAAAAATAATGTTTGCGTTATAAAGGGCTGACCGGAGACGTAGTCCTCGTCATTGAGTGGTGACCACAGAAGGACGGCGTGATATCTGGAGACCGACGGGTGCTCTAACACCACATCGCAGTCTACGGCCCGACCGAACACCAGACGCGACTTCGCGACCGTCTTGTGGCCGACAATAACGCCGTTCTTCAGCTGATCCACAAAGTACTGGCCATCGGGTGGTGTGACGCGAGTCATCGGTTCCGGCATTACTGTCTTCGACACCACACCAGTGGCCGCGGGTTTGGCCACCGGTTCCGACACAATGGCCGGAGTGTCGAGTGTTTTGGTTTCGCCGGTTTCCGCTGCGGATCCGCTTCTCACCACTTCTTGAGCCGTATTCGCGCTCTCGTTGTGCTCTTTGGATGTATTGAGTGGTACTTTAAAGACAACCTCCGTATCGATCGGATCCATGGCTTGCGTTCAAACGTATCGATCAATTGATTCAAAAAACAATATTTGTTTACAAAAAATGCAAAACGGATTGAATGGTTGGGCAAAACATGTGTCCATTAATAACGTCAAGTGTTTGTGATTTCAACGCTATTTATTAGTGAAGCAAAGGGTTTGCGACCAAAAGGTATTTATTCATAAACAACATACAAATAATAAGACCCCCTAAATATGGTTACGTTATAATGCGTACAAAACCCCCTCCAAAACTGCCTCCGCCCACACATACGGAGCGTAACGTTGTTTACGATGACTATAATTGATGTGTGGATGGGTTTATTGGCTATACATTGAGTACAATTGCGTTGAAATGTTTGTAGACATTATGCGTACGGAAGTGATTGCTTCGAGTGAACAGAACGTCGAATGACGTAACAAATGATGAAAAGAGAAGTCGTATGGGATTTGAGGTAAACATGAGATCATATGACGCGTCCGAACGACGACTCCTTTTGACTCGCATTGGATTCGCGAACAAATGTATACAAAAAATAAATGCAAACAATAAATGCATTGCAATTGCGTTCGCACTCGTCGTCCGAACTCTAAGCCTATTCTCTACACTTGTATTCCGTTTACGACTAATCAAACACTCGATTATAGACTCGAATCGAATGCCATTAATAGTGAAATGCGTTAATCGAGTGAACAATTGATGCATTGATTGTGTGTTTGATATGAAACACACGCTTTGATTGACAGAGAGTTTGGTGTTTAAAACGAGTCAATCGTTTCGCAAACACATCGCTATTGACTCGTGATTTTCATTATCAATCCATTGCCACACTTTCACTCATTCACTCTACTATTACTATCATTACTATTACTATTACTAATAGTTAGTAATAATAATCACATTAACTATAATTTAGTGGTTATAATCATTTCAATTGTGTTTGCATTGAAATTGAGTGCAGTTTTGGTTTCAAAGTCAATGACAAATGCATTCATTTCTCACTAATTATTGTTTATTAATAATTGAATTGAGTTTTTGATATCAATTCAAACTTTTTTTTATATTGAATTCAATTGTTTTTGAATAAATATCATTGAATTGACAGTAATTTTGAGTGATTTTTGCTGTCATTTTGGCCATAAAGTGATCGCTAATAATAATAATAATATATATTTTGTAAATTGATGTGATATTAATATTAATGGTATTATTAATAGTATTATTATATCGTTTGTTATAATCGTTTAATTATTTAATTTTTTTGTATTTCATTATAAACTGTTTGAATAGTTTTTGTATTGAATTAAGTATTGAATTAATTAAAGAGTGAATGAAAACCGTATTTGAAGTGAAACCCAAGTCTCGATGTATTGAATATCCAATTCATATCTAAATCAATATATTTTGCCATTAATTAAACAGTCATTTAATTAGATATAAAACTCGTTATAATTGTGAGTGAATTGAGATTTTAAGCCACGTTTTCGTTACAATTTTAATAATCGTTGAAATTACAAATCACTGCATATTTGTAATTGTTATACACATTTGGTGTTCAGCTTAAGGTAAATATTAATTTTTAATTATTTTTTCATTTAAATGTAAAATATTTGGCAATTTATATGTATTTTAGTGTTTATTGGAAGTGAAATGAGATTTTTAATTGTATTCACAAACGTTAGCACCGATTGAATGACCGAAACGTTTAGATTTATTGAGGGAAACCTAAAGTCATTTAACTTTAAATGTAATGCAAAGCCTATCCTTAATTGTGAATTCAATGAACGGATATTTGTATCGGAAAAACCAATTCAATTATGGAGAGAGAGAGAGAGAGACAGAGAGAGAGCAGTGGAAAAGTCATTGATTTAGTTGTATTGCAAGAAATGAAGTCTTGAACTTCAGATATGATATCAGATTTGGATCCTTAGGGAAAGAAATACCCATTTTTTTGTCTCAAAATACCTTCAAATGTCCTCCAAATGCACACCACATGTACTCTACTCTCACTTTCAGACACTTTTATCGCTATTTTCTTCGCATACTTTTAAGCGCTTTTTTAAGTGAATTTAAAAATAGTTTTTAAGTTTGTTTTAAACAATTGTGTGTTGTTTTCAATGTTATCAATGTTTTTGATGCCGGAGATTATGAGATTTTTTCGATTAAAACGAGATAAACGTTTTAAATATAGAAATTGATTGTCATTTGCTTTAAATCCCTTTAAATATCAATAAAATATCTAATTTTTAATCACTTTTTTATTGAGAAAGAAGTTTTGTACGAGTTTTTTGTGACTTATAATTAGTAAATGGTTTTTCTGCCATTAAATTGGGTTTAAATCGTTTGAAACAAAGCAGTGATAACTGATAACTGGTTTGGAAATCGTTTATTAGTTTTAGTTTTATTTTGTGTTATATTTGATATAAAAATATATTTATTTAAATGTCTTTTGTTTCGCTTTAAAAGTTTTAAACGTTAAAAAAGTTTATTTTAGAGAAAAACGATTTAGTTTTGAGTTTTCCATAAGAAATCAATGAATTTTGCAAATTATTTGTTGGTTTGAATTTTTAAAGTGATTTTAATAATTGCTGTGAAAATGACACTTAAACTGAATGGTAAGTGATGTTTAGTTTAATTATATTTACAATTAATTACATTGTTTTTGACGTTTTATACAAAACTGAGCGTAAAAACTAGTTTTTTGAAAATAAATAAATTATTAAATGTGAGACTCAATTAATAGACATTTTTCTCACAATTAAATGTATTATTATTGAGATATTTTGGTTATTTTTTGACACAAATTAATCTAACATTGGTTTTATTCGCGTGTTTTATACGTGAATCTCGACGTAAGTCTATAGAAATTGAGGAAATTATTACTTTAAATATATTTTAATTGCATTTTAATTCACTTTTCAAACGTTTCAATGAAGATATTTTAATACTTGCTATAAAAGAAACTTCTTATTGTATTTTTATTTGTATTTATTTGTTTAAAATCCCAAATTGTATTTTGTATTTCGTAATATATCGTACGACTCTCTCTCTCTCTCTCTCTCTCTCT